GCAGAGGCAGCTTGCTTATGAACTGAACAATCGACTATATTCTCTCTGTATAGTATGACTGTCCAGTATTTAGTCTTGACTATGACTTGTAGTCAAGTTACTAGAAATATTAATACGAGTTAAGTTATTTCCCTTTATTCACTATAATTAGATACTTATTATAAACATATATTTCTTAATCAAAGTAGCTGTGGAAATTTCCACTCTGAACGATTTTTTTAAAATTATGTGTAAAACTAAGATTGCACCATTTTTGGAAGCAAAATATATGTAGATAAGTTAAATAATTTATTAGAAATATTTATTCATCGTGTTTCTGCAAATATATTTTAATATGGTAGATAAAGTAAAGTATATATTAAAACATTGGCAAATGCTTCATGTTTATTTCATTATAATAAAAATCATAAGAAGAAACTGGCTTTTGGTTTCTAGTTTCTAACAATTATATAAATTAAGTTTTGGTCACTTAGTGAGGTAATTAAAGACAATGACATGACCTTAAAACTATAAAGAAAGAATCACAAGTCATGAGTTCTACTTCTAGTATAGGAATTATTGCACCTTTGTCTTTTTATTACTTAAATGAATCGAAACCATTTCGATACAGAGCGGTAAAATGGAAAGATCGCTTTACAATCTACCAAACGATCGTGTACATACAACTAAATCAACAAGTAATATTGAAAACCCAATCTTAAATAGATACCTTTTTATTTAGTGGGCTACTCATAAAAGCAGATTAGTTTAAGAATGATTTGAATCGTTCAAAGTGACACTAGACAAAACATTCAATGGTGAATAATGCTCAATATTTTCTTGGCCAAATATACAAGTTCTATTGACTTCATGACAAGAAACCGCAGTAACTTAATATCGTAAAACGATATTATGGTTAGAAGAATGTATCTACGAAATGTGTTGTTTGACCAACAGTCATTACGTTTGTATTTCTTTATTAACAAAAAAAGTGAAATACAGGACAGGAAACGAATCAACCTCAAAACCTCGCTGTCATCAATAATTTTTCTGTTTGACAGTTACGTTAACATTGACTGGGATTTAAGTTCTTTTAGCTTAATTTTTGTGTGAATTATTTTGACATATTATGTTTAACATTCCAAATAATTGAATAAACATTTATAGATATACATATATACATTTTCATTTAAATTAGCAAAATAATATGATATATAATGACCAAAGTAGTGGTTGCCCGGAAGAGACCGCTTAAAAACGATAGGGCCGCCCGTTGCCCTCCAATTATTTAAGTGTTCTTATTTTAAATAAAACTCCTGTTGTACGATACAAGAAAAATTGCCTGTACAACTACTGAGCGCAGATATCTGTGCGCTTTAGTTATACAAAATTTTTGACAGGTTATCCAGCATTGCAATAGGTCCGGTTAGTTTAAGGAACATGAAACACCAAGTCACTCGGCCCCGGAATGCCGTGAGTAGCCCACGGCGTCTCAATAATTATATCACGAATATGAGATAGGGGAATCGCGTGACCAGGCCACGATTAGTATAATTACGTTACGGCCCAAAATGGTGCATTATTTCAATTGTTTGTGTATTATGATTGCTGTGCTGTGGAGATGTCAGATTTTTAGTCTCCGATACAAAATGTTAAGTCATACCACAAAATGATTTGCGTATGTTTTATAGGCATTTGAATTTATGGTATTTAGATGAACGTCCTAAGATAATTGAAGATATAGCACCGCGGGAATGATTATTATAGTCTTTTTTTAATGCTCACAAAGATTATTTTATCCATAATTATTTTTTTATTAATTATTTTATTGCTGATTAATACTTTTATTTTTGATACATGTGTCTAACTTAGGACTAATAAGTAATGTAAGTTTAAACTAATTTACTAATAAGGATTTATAACAAAGAAAGTGTCCAATAACGCTACTAACAGTCTCTATTAAAGGCAAGACACTCTGTTCTTGTGTTCTATAAATTAATATGTTGATTCAAACAAATTAAAATGACAAATCTGGTGCACGGTGTGAAGACGGTGCAAGATTGTCATATCAATATGTTAAAAGAATAAGAACGTTAAATCCATAAAAGTCAACTGTTTTTTCAACAATAAAAATGAGAACCAAAATGTTGTTCAAAGAAAAAGGTCGTTTTTTTTTTTTAATAATAAAAATATTGCATTTATTATGTACGTACACAAATATGATATGCCCGAGAAATATCAACGTAACGTAATAATAAAACTTTTTTCAATCGCGTATTATATTTCTCTATTAAACTAAAAATATTATTAAGGCACTTAAACGGCTAAGTTGCTTTATATAAAATACTTGTAGTAGACTTAATTTTTATTACGCAATCATATTTATAAATCCAAACTGCCAAAACGACTATGTTTATATCTACTTTTGACTAATTACAGACAATATAATAACAAACAATTTGTTTTAAACTTTGATACAGCCTTACACTATACCTGTGGGCAAACAAACTTACACAAATATTGCTTTATGGAAAATTGACTTTATGCCTTGAACTTACAGATCAATTTCGGTTTGAGCAACTTCAAAGATATTTTGGTAAAAAAATCTACGTCCGTAGATGACGCAATACCTAACATGCTAGTAATGGTTGGTGTCAATCAAAATTACAGAGTAAATTCGGTTGTACGTATACTCGAGATATGCCAAACCATTCTCGACCTTATCCTTATCAACTCAGGGACAAAGTACTGGATTTGGCAGCAAAAAATAATATGAGATTCTACGAAACGCGCATCAAGACGTTAGCTAAAGTATTATTATCTTGTTTTATTTTTATAATTTTCGATATGATTTGCTTTACTACTAAATTTAAATTTCGAATTTTTAAAATATTCATAAGTACCAAATACAGATTAATCATAAGCGATTATTCAAAGCGTTATAACCTAAGATTATAACATTGAAAAGGCCAAAGAAGATTAATTACGGAACATAAAATTGCTATTCATTATCATATTAGTAATAAAAAACCTAAATTACGAAAAAAACGTGTACCTGTTATGTAACTATTAATTTCGTAAATAAAATACCTACCTACTCCTTTTTAATTTTGCAATCGATACTAGATTTTATAACACTTTAAATACTTATTTGTTTTTCATTCGAAAAGTCAATGAACTCATAAAAAACTGTAATTAGATTAATATGTTGATACAAAAAATATTCAAATGACAAATCTGGTGCACGGTGTGAAGGCCAGTTACGTTTTAGATTGTCATATCAATATGTTAAAAGAATAAGAACGTTAAATTTGTAAGTTAACTGTTTTTAAAAAAAAAATTAGACCCAAAATGTTATTAAAAGAAAAAAGTAGTTGATATTTTTTTAATAATCCTAGATAACAATATTATACGTACGAACACAAATATGACAACAAAAAATTAGAACACCCCTACGTCAATATATAAAAAAACTACTAAAAATTAATTGCAATAATTAAAATGTGACTAACCAAGTAAAAAAACACGATTTCGCGCGCAAATCGGTTGCGCTAAGCGTCCGTCGAGAAGCCGAATTCGATTCAAGGCCGCATTCCAATTTCAAACCATTGTCAATGTCACCATTCGGAGCACATGACAGATGTTGTTTTTGGCGCGTAAGCGTAATTTTTAAAAAGTCTAGCGCTAATATTATGAAATATGCAATAGTTGTATCATATAATTGTCAAAATCTTATTAGTTTTTACAAGTATTCTCTTTTAGAAAATTATGTATGTAATATTCAAAATTTTAACTGGTTGTGACACAATTTTGTTTTCTAAAAGTCGGCTGCTGAACTGCAAAATCAGAAATTTAAATCATACGTATAAAAACAAAGAAAATTCAGATTTATGATAATTTGGAAGCATCAATTTTTAAGGTCGTATTTTTCTGTTACATTAAAAACCTTTTTTCTTCGTGCGAGTAATTTTTGTATCATAAACTAATCACGCTATATAAAAATGATACTGTTTATTATTTTATCATAACCCACTGTAGTTAGGGAGTTTTATCGAGACCTTGCTAATAGGTCGTGGTCTCAACTTATCGGTAGAACTATTCGTATAAGACACGGAAGGGTATATTATTTGATAGCTTAAATGTTTAGGTAACAGAACCCTTATCATTTTTTTGTAACACAACAACCTCTTCAGTCAAGTCTTATATTTTTTTTGTATAAAGCCTCATTCTTAATTTTCAGTAACTGAAGATAACAGGAAATCCACGTAATCAAAGCCAAATTTAATTTTAATTAATAACTCGAAAATTACCATAATTAACAAGCTTTACGATAAGCATCGTCCCGGAACAGCGAAGCATCATTCAATCCCAAACGGCGCAGACGCTAGGTATTGTCCTATACAACCTCCAAACGACCTGCCACGTGACCTTCAATTGCAAGGTCTATCGGAGTTAGGTATGATGAAGAAATTATATTTATAATTTAAAAAGAAAAAAGTGAATTCTAAACAGCGTCAAATCAAATAGATCATTCAACTTAATACAGAACTGATAAGATCTTATTAGATGATCTGATTAGGAATCATTTATTGTTGCAATAAATAAAATATATACATGTTCATGTTACAATTTTAAAGGTCAAACTAAATATTACAAAGTTGTATTAAACAAATAAATTATCTACACAAACAGTCACACCTAACACTCGAAAATCGTTGAATTATTTTGATAGTGCGCCTGAGCACTCTCGAACATAAAGTGGATATTCAAATTAACTTTAAAGTTCGTACAGCGTATAATGATGTCTAGTTAGAAATAAGTGTGGAATAAGGAAGTACTCGACACGAATACATTAGGTTCGTTGCCGAAATAAAGAGAATGATTTGATGATAAAGCGCTACACGGAACCACGTTTGCGTCGTGATCTTCACAAAGATTAATAACGAACAATGCTAAGCCGAATATTAAAGATGACGTCAAGATGAAACTTCCGAAGTGTTCAAGGATGGTTTTCATTAACTCTAATTGTAACTAACCTTCTCTTCTTGAAGACTCTGACCCCCATTTTCTGATAGCGGCGTTGATGGAGCACTGTACCCTTTCGGTCCCTCGTCGTGCGGTGTCATGTGTCGCTGGATGTCATTCTCCTGGTCGTTATGACCTCTTAAGTCTTGAAGACCATTTTTGAATTCAGATAATCTTAAAACGGACGGTTTAATTTCTGGCATATCATCGGGATGTTCGTATCTTCTTAAGTCTGTTAGGTTCGCTGCTAAATGTCTGTGCGTGTCTAGAGGTGGAGGCACTCCTATAGATCTCAGGTGTTCTATACTTCTATGGATATGCGAATAATTATCTACAGGAATTTCCGCCATTAGAGGCGAGTTATGATAGTCCAGTCCGCCATCAGTCCTGTAGTCGATTGTCCTTCCTTCCATCATCTTTTTGGCTTTTTATTTCTATCTAAGTACTTTAAATTTTCAGTATCTACGTATTTGGCACTATCTTATAAATATAATCTGTCACAAAATCCTGGTACGTTTGTTTGTCATGGAATATTTCGAGATCTTCCGTTTAACTGCAAAAATATTACGTATTTTCTTTAATAATATAAAATTCAAATTAAGAATAATTTATTCGAAATGTTGACTATTTTTGAATATGCAAACTGTAGGTACAATTGCGGAGGAAATGTTTTAGAATAATTGCGATTTAATTTGAAAAGTTGTCGGACGACTCTGTCCGGTTGTTTGTCTATTTAAAACTAGATTTGAAGAGTAAAAAACTTTTAGTTTTTTTCTGAAGCAGGTGACGAGCAGTCGCGTAGGTTGTGTCAATGATCTAGCTCCTAGCCCACATGCCATATCGAATAAGGCTTTGATAATCACATTGCATGTACAGACGCGATTATATGAAACTATATTATTTTTCGATGGTGTGATTTTATAGTCTTATTATATATTAGGGGTATGAAATTTAAAACTTTGTTGACTATACTGGATTGATATGAAATAAATAGTTTTGATATACCTTAAAGGTTCTTATTTTGTAGATATATAATTAAATGTTACTTTTTTTCAAAGAATAATTTAAAAAAAAAATACTTTCTTTCAACCACATTTAAAAATACATTTTGTTCGTATTTTTTTATTTAGGCACACTTTTCTTTGTGCCTGTACTTTGAATGTCCGCTATACACGCCTGTCAAAGATAATAATTGCGCGCATAGAATACAACAACGCGTTGTCTTTAATATAATCCTTTAAGCGATTTTTGACCTTATTTTCAAAATGATAAAGGACTCTTTTCTTTTATAGCAAGTAACATGATATTAGAGGTAATTTGGTGATGCTTTGTACATGGGGGCCATAGATTAGACTTAGATTTGTATACAGGTTTCGTAGGAAGTTCTTAAGTTATAATGGGCACTTTGAGTAGTAGGCACCTTCTAGATATGAATTTCAGATAAGAGTAATTTAGCGAATAACTTAAGTACTATGTTGGGTTTTGTATTAATTTAAGTAGGGTAAGACACTGCTTATTACAATATAAAATACCGATTTATTTTAAGATTTCAAATATTACTTTGGAAACTAAGTAGAAACGATGGGCATAATAAAGAATTTATTCATGTATTTTTCATTGTTGGCCACTTTAAATGCATTTGGAAGATTTCGCGTCAACTGAAGCGACAAGGTTATCTGACAATAAGTTTTTGTGGGATTTAAGTAACTTTGTCGCGATTTGTCATTCAATGAAACTTTTAAAGATTTATCGACAACATAAAATAGTTTTGCTGCCAATATATTTTGACTCGTAAATTACTATAAAATCACACCAAATTACACTTTTATTTTTTAACTACTTAGCTTAAACGTTGATACAATTTCTTTTCATTCTACATATATAACATAGTATCAACAACATTTCGAATAAATCAAATGAAAAAATAATAAAGCAGTAATCGGTTCCCCCTTTATTATTATATCTACCGTTATCACTAAACAAATAAACTTTAAAGTAACATAAAATACATTGCAGTGTATTTCCGTATAAGTCTGGGTCTCAAGGTCAGACAGCCGGGGACTCGAAGTTACATTCGTCTTATCGAGGGAGATAGGTATTACGTAAAAATTCCCTCTCCCCATGCCACCCTCAGAAGGGGAACCGACAACCACTAATTAAAAAAACCAACATACCTCTTATTTCTATCAAAAATCTTCAAAACACCAACTTTATCACCATAATAAATCACAGTTTGTTCCTATCTAAAATGTCACTAAATATCACATTAAATACAGGTAACACTAATGTCACAACACGTAAGGCAACTGTCCAGCGATATCGCCAAAATATCTATAAAAATCCACGTGTTCCCGGAAAATAAACATTTAAAAAAAGCCGGCACAAAAACGTCCTGCCTAGCCCCGACGAGAAATTATGAATGCCGAGCGTCGTTGCTAGGATCCAAATTACGAGATTTTTTTTCGCTTTCAATATTTTTGTGTGCTGTGTTTTTATTTGGTTTATATGTGGGTAAATCCACACGTGATTGATGCTGTCCCTGTCCCACGCACCGATTTGCGCGTGCACCGGCTTGCAGTTGAGATAACTCAAGACATGTGCTTCTACTAGCCGGCGTTTCTGAATATACTTCGAAAATAAAAATTAAATACAAAACAGCCGCTCGACCGACTTTAGAGCGACGCGGCAAAAACGAGACTGAAATTCAGATCTATAGTAGAAAAAGTGAACTACACCGAACGAGGGGTACACTAACACATAAAATGAAAAAAATTACACGGACGCTAACATCGGCACAGGAGCTTAAAAAATCCGGAGTGGGGATCCGTCTATTCTATTCGCTTGAATAGCGGCGTCTCGTTCTAGCGGCGTGAGGCCGCACGCACACAGAGACACGGTGGTTAAGCGAAAAAAATGTGTACACATTTTTTTATAATTCACGATTTTTATGTGTGTAAGTGGGCTCGGCGCAAGCGAGAAGGCAGCTGTCCTGCGCTCCGAGGCTCTAAGTGGGAGCGGGAGGGAAGACGTCGCCACGTGCTCGTCCCTTGGTATTAAATAATAATTAAAATGGCTACAAGACCGGCGATACGAGATACTGTTCGGTAGACGATTTTTTGGCAGAGCTTTTGCCTTTTTTGTTGAGCTTTTTGCGGAATCACCGCGAACGAGGTAATCCGCGATATAAACGGCTAAATGAAAAAATATTCGGCTGATTGGCACATAATTTAGTGAGAAATGCGCGCGGAAACTCGCGCCGAATAAAAAAACCAAGGACGCCGCGCGAAAAAGAAGTTATTGATTAAAACAGAGCTTGTCATTGACCAGACGCAAATGAGGGTTGTTAATATTATGCAGCGGTAGCTAAGGCGGGAATCGATCTTGCTTTTTTAACTCTCCGTGACATTAAAGACGCTGCGAAGATATACGACTATGATAATCGAATCTTTATTACGGCATGAGTAGTGACAACTTTTTGAAAAACTTAAATGATAATCGTTAAAAGTTGTTTACGAATATTTCGTTCTAAAAATAATATTACATGTTTAATTGGATGTCATTCGAAATGTCAATTTTAAATTGTATTTGCCTTCACAGTAAATACATATATGTTAACAAATTTAAATGTAAAACGCCTAGAAAAATCACAAAGCCTCATAATGAGAATTTTGTTCAATTGGGTTGGGTCACGCACTTGGTTTAGTTAATACGTTTAGCTTGAAGCTTTTAGCTTTGATTCCCGGAAAGATAAAATATATTTTTAGACCTAGAAGGTCTAAAGAGGTACTAAAATAGACAGAAACGTGTCTATTATGGACTACTTGATATGATTTCTTTTTCATTTTCTCAAGTATTAACACTTGTAATAAACAGTTCCACCGGTTTTAAACAGCTTTAATTATCACAATTCCGAAGTATACAAGATTATAGGTGTCGCGATGTTTCGCGTGCTGTAACAGTATGGTCACGAGATGGTTAAACTAAAAAATATTAAAGAGTATTATATTTTTAAGCCCGAAAAAGGAGAGCATTTCGGCAAGAATTTTTTAAGATTAATATATGATTTTCCCTACCACGGTTGCCTGGAAGGAATGCTGGATTGCTATCCATTGCCCTGTTAATTATTAGTTTCTGGTTTACTATTATTACAACGAAGTGTAAAAATAATAATACCTAATACTATATATAGTAAACTAGCTGCCCCCGCGGACTTCGTTTCTCCTTAATGCCTAGCCAGCCTGGCCTACCTTTTTAGTACCTATATACCAACATGGAACATTTTGCGATGCTACCCCAGAGACTGTTTGGTTTTCCAGAATGACAACTTTTTAGGTTCTTCTGTGATTTTTCTCTGTATAAACCTCAGAGTTCAAATCATAAGTTTTAAATTAACAAATAAAAAATAGGGGTTGATGGTAGAGGGGTGAAAATTAAGGGTTGTATGTATCATAAAAAAATATATTTTTTTTTTGGGTGGACACCCCTTATCACTTAGGGATTTGAAAGATAGTAGCCGATTCCCAGACTTACTGAATATGCTTTAAAAAATTCATAAGAATCGGTCGAGCCATTTCGGAGCAGTAGAAAACGAACATTGTGACACGAGAATTTTATATATTAGTTAAGATTCACAAACTGAATTTCTTAACAAATTCACGACCCGTATGTCAAAATCTAATATTTTTGGATATGTCCACGGGATTGAAAATTAGCGCTAAGTTTCTGTACTTATGTACAGAAGTAAATTCGAAAGCTAAATTCAATAGCTTATCGTTACATGAAACAGGTGGACAGTTAAGATAATGTATAAAATTATGAATATAATAGAAAATGCACGTAATTATACACAACCTATCAACGGGCAGATGTCCAGGCTATTGAACTGGGGACAACGATAGGGTTAAGAATAAAAGATTGACATATCTACACTTATATTATGTAGCTAAAGAATGGTTGTGGTTCGAATTGAAAATGATTTATCGAAGAAAAGGAATTGACCACGGGGAACTTGTTCTGCACTACATACGATTTTAGCAAGTGAAACGTTGGTAATAGAAGGAGTAGTTCTTAGATCCTTCTTGATTCGATTCCGAAAAAATTATAATTGTTTTAGGTTGAATATATTTTATTCTTAAAGGATTGTAGAAAATAGTATTTTTATGCAGACTTGTGTATTCTTATTTTAAACATTTTCATGGATACAAAAATACTTGCGTATTAGGCTATGTTCAGATGGCAAAAACTTGACCGCGTTTTCAAATCGCGCGACTAGGGATTATGGTATTTTTCATACAACTGTTCACATGTAGACGTGTGACGCGCGTTGACCGCGTCAACGCGGCGCTCAGAGAAAAAGTCTCTAGACGCAGGTGATCGCGCGTTGACGCGCGCTTTGATATTAATGTAATGTCCGTTT